AGTAGGTTGTTTCATCATGCAAATTTTTAAACTACCGAGCGCCGTTTGAAAGAAAAACAAATTGTGATCAAAATGCGCTCAAAAGCTTTAGACATTTATAAGAGAAAGGCTCTTCAGAATATATTAATTTACAGTTAGCTTTTAAAACTTTTTGAAGTTTTAATTATAAACACGACTTTGATGTGAAACATGTAAACAAACTTATTATAATGTATAGTCTGAAATATATATACAGTAAATAATAAGTATATAAAACATATATGTTATATCTTTTTAGGCTATCCACTGCCTATTTTTATACATATTTAAAATATGTATAAGTATTAAATATTGTTAAAATATTATTGAAATTCAATAAATATTATTAGAATAGTTAATATTATTTACTAATTTTACATTAAAATAAGACTTTTATCATATATTATATAGCAAAGATCTTATTCTATTTTAAAAAATATATATAATATTATACTATTTAGTATAACTATTATATATTGTAAAAAGTAAATAGTAAGTATATAGTATAAATGTGTGTACAGTATAAAATATCTGTTATAAGTATTTTTTGTAGTATTTATTATAAACAAATGTATCATTCATTGGAAAATATAAAGCATTTATATATATATATATATATATATATATATATATATATATATATATATATATATTTTGTGTATATATATATATATATATATATATATATATATATATATGTATATATATATATATATATATATATATATATATATATATATATATATATATATATATATATATATATATATATATGTATATACATATTGTATGTATATATATTTATTTATATATATACCAATTTAAAAAAAACTAAGAATGTATTATTACTTATGGTAGATTTTAATAACATTTTTCATGTTAAAATGTATAGATGGTACGTAATTATAAACCAAAGCGACAAAAAAATTATAATGCAGAAATTTTTCAGGCTGCTCTGCAAACCATTATAGATGGAGAAACTATATCAACTGCAGCAAAACAATATAATATTCCACGTACAATGTTGATTGATAAATTACGGGGAAAACATCAAACACATTCTATAGGTGGTAAAACAATTTTCTTTAAAAATCAAGAAGAAACTCTTGTTCAAAGGCTGCTTTATATGGCTGATAGAGGGTTTCCTCTCACAATAATGTGGTTAAGATCTGCTGCTTATTTCTATGCCAAAAGCTTGTGTAGACGTCATTTATTACAGAAGTCCATTCCAAAAAGTTGGCATAATAAATGTTTGGCATCACGTGATTGGTTTCTCTCATTCCGAAAAAGGCATACTCAGTTGACACTAAGAATTCCTGAAGGGCTTTCTCGAGCAAGAGCAGAAGCATTTAATGAGAATCGCGTTCAGACATTTTTTAACGATTTACAACCTTTTTATGAACAGCTTGACATAAAAAATTATCCAAATTTGATTTATAACTGTGATGAAACTGGCCTTTCATCTGTGCCAAATGTCTCTGTTAAGGTAATAGCATTAAAGGGTTCTCATGAGATGCAAAAGTTAACTATTGGTGAATGTGGCACACTAACAACATACCTGGCCACTGTTAATGCAGCAGGAGACAGCTTACCACCATTTTTCATATTTAAGGGAACAAAGATTCCAGATGCATCTAAATTTCCTTTGGGTACAAAAGTGCATTGTAGTCAAAGTGGATATATTGATCAAGAGATTTTTATTGCTTATTTACATCATTTTAATGAGTTTTGTACAAAAGTGAATGGGAAAAAAGTATTGTTATTTTTGGATGGCCACAAAAGTCATGTGACTATTGAACCGATTGAATTAGCAATAAAGATGGATATTGAAATAATATGCATTCCACCTCATAGTACACATCGCCTTCAACCACTTGACACACATGTTAATAAAGTAGTTAAACATATGTGGTCTGAAGCCTTGTCTAATTACTTAGCTGAAAATGATGATATTTCTTTGCCTCGTTGCAACTTTCACATTATTTTTAACAAAATATGGCCAAATATACTTACAAAAAGAGGATTGATTGTTAATGCGTTTTACCATTGTGGTTTGCATCCCCTAAGAAACCCAGTAAAAGATTTCCAATATAAAAAAGCAGAGGTTTTTAATAAAGCAACAATTCACCAGGGAGACCAAAATTTATCTATTTTAAAGACTATTATACCTTCTCCTGAAAAAAAAAGGAAACCTACTCATCCAAAACGCCACATTGCTCTTATTACATCACCAGGTAATGTTAAGTTAATAAAAGAGCCTCCTGCTAAAAAGGCTGCAATAAAAAATGTAGTCAGTGTTTAACAGAAGTCAAAAAAGGATCACGATAAATCAGTTAAAACCAAATCAAAAAAGACTTTTTTTTCAGCTGATTCTGATCACCCAAGTTTTTCAAGTTTTATTCTAAAAAATAACACTGATAAAGACTTTTGTTGTGTTTGTGCAGCTGTTTGGGCAGAAGCAAGTGAAGATTGGCTTAAATGTTTAAATTGCAATCAGTGGGCATGCGAAGGATGTTTTGGAGTTGATACATGTGCAAATTGTGTGCAATGAACATATAAACGTCTTGTAAATTTTTAAATAGTCATAGTAGTGATATGATTTTTGTTATTTAAATAGTCATAGTAGTGATATGATTTTTTGTTGCTTTAACGTGCTATTTTTTGCGCTAGCGCGGTTATACGGTTTTCATTTATGCCAAAATCATTATTTGATATTTTCTTGGAAAAAGTTTAACAATTGATGTCCTTTTAGATGTCCTTTTTGATGTCCTTTTACCCTAGGCCACTGCAGTCGAGGAGGCTACTTTAGTTGTGTTAACAACCCTCTCTCAACTCTATAACTCCGAAACACGAACCTTGACGATCAAGGTTCGTGTTTCGGAGTTATAGAGTTGAGAGAAAAACAAGTTGAGCGCAGTACTACCAGGGACGCGGTGGGAATCGAACTCGCAACTTCTAGGTTTACTTCTAGATTAGGGAAATCATCCTACTGTGACCTCAAAAATGTTTTATGTCAAAGTTTTTTTCTCCTAGGTAAGTTGCCTTTACCACTAGAAAGGAATTTCGTCTATCGCCCGAGTCACGAATTTTTAAATTAGTTTAGCTGTACTGACGAATTCGCCCCGTAATTGACGAATTCGCCTCATGACTTGATGATGAAAAAATCAAATTATACGCTAAAGTAACTTTAGAATTCATTTTGATTCAATACATTAACAAAATAGAGACCCTAATTAATAAAAAAAAGTTTTTAAACTAAAAAAGTTCACTTATTTATATGCGAATTCATTTTGTTAAAGTAAAACATGACGAACTCGCCCCGCTTTACCCTATGTAATAGTTTCATGAAATATAAAATAGAAAGCCCTGGAACATAAAATACTTAAAGTTATTAGTAGAAAATGTGTTAAATTTTTTAAATGCATAAATAAATTTTTAATCATTAGTTTCACATTAATATTAGTTTAGTTTATAATATTGATGCTTTAAGAAAAGATTCTTAAGCTAGTAACTATGCAAACTAAACGATTGCCAGGCATTTCAGGTGTCACTATCAACCAAATAAAAAATAGTACCACTACATTGGTTGTATAAAAATACTCAAGTGGAAATAATGGGAGTAATCCAATAAAGTTATTACTTTTTCCATTTTTTTCATATTTATAAGGTTAATAAAATATGTGGTTGCTGAGCAATTTAGGTATTCCTAGAAACCCAAAATTAAACCTGATGTCACCATTGAAACCACAACCCTTAAACTAGTAAACAGTGGAAATGCCGTTCTTAAATCTTTTTTATATTATCCTCAATATTTGATACTTGCCCAATATACTTTAATTTGCCAACTGGAATGCTAAATGCACAAACGTGCAAACTCAAATGCATGTATAACAGCTTTAGAGAAGTGGGATGGAACACCCCCGTTAGTGCGTATTGTATCAGCGATATAGTAATATAATAGTGTACAAGAAATAATATGTTCATAAGACGCCACTCTTAAAAGATCGTGGCACAAAGTTTGGCTAAAAGAACCCCGGATTTAGGCGTACCTATTAATAAAATGTTGTTTTTATCAACAAAATTTGATTCCTTTTTTACATTGCTTATATTTACATTCTATATTCTATATCAAATTGTTTAAAATAAGTTCTTTTTTAAATAAAATATTCGTTTTTTATTAAATTTTTCAGTTCTTTGTTCAACTCTGCAAGCCTTATCCATTGTAGAAGATTTATGATGAGTTTTCCAGTGATTGTTTTTATTCTAAAGTTGTTTTGAACAACTAAAATACAATTTTCTTGTGGTTACTACGATTTATATGTGTTTTTTTCAGAATATTTTTCATATGAAAAAAATAATATTATTGGACTATTTTTTAGTAAAGGTAAAAAATTTGCTATGGCGACAATAGCCGTTGCCATGGTGGTTGTTAAGGAAGCTAAAAATAATAGGGTTAAATAAAATTTAATTAAATTAAGATCTATAACAAGTTTTCAGATATGGTTTTGAGATAGTGAATGTCTGAAAAATTTTGCACAAAACAAGGAAATTTAAGTTTTTCCACTTGAATAGATTTTTAAAAGTTAGAGTTTTTGCTATTGAGACACTTAATTAATGTAAAAATGTAATTTGAATCTATTTGTATAAATCTCAGGCGATTTCGTTGGTATTTCAATAATTCCAATCTTGTAATCCGGGCTTAATATTTAATTCGGATATGAAATATAATTGTTTTATCGCTTTAGATGTGCAAGCCGAAGTATTAAGAAAGTACAATCGAGAAATGTTTTTACTTTTGCTTTTGGTAATGCCAAAAGCTTTTGATAATGCAAAAGACAATTATTTTTTATGTTAACTTATTATGTTATTGCTTCTGTATAACTTAGAGAAATAATCAATTATCATAACTAGTGATACTATGTTGTTTTAAAGATCAAAAAAAATGATATATAAATTTTTAATTGTTTTTCTTCTCAAACAAGTTCTTGGTTCCTCTGAATGTATCAAATCAAAATTTACAGCCACATCAGGTTTAGTTAAAAGCGCCGCTAAATCAAATGCTAGTTGTTATAACTACACTATTAATGTTGGGTCAAAAGTAGTTCAATTGACATGGAATAGTTTTGAAATGGATGCAACTATGCCTACTTGCACGGATGGGGATTATATTGAGGTGTCCATTGGGTACGTTTTTTTATGTGTTTTTTTTTTTTTTATGTTTAATATTGTTCTATTTTTTTATTCAAATAATTAGTTGTACAGGACTCAGTAATATGCCCCATTTAATATTTTTAAGTCATCCAAAAAATCTTACAATGTTTGTTGAATATAACCCTTATAAACTTCTCTAAAGAGCCATATTATGTTTTTTAATGCATAGTTTGTTACATCTGTTTCCGATAATATACTTATTTGTTTAAGAATACTTATAATGCATAACTATTTGTATTTTAAATACAAATAAATATACAATTAAAAAAAACTTTAAAAAGTAAAGCGCTGCTGCTGTTTCTTTAGTTTTTTATGATTGATTATGATAATATAAAAATTTGTGAAAACTCAAGAAAAGTTGAAATGAATATTTTTTGCTTAGGTCAAAATAATTACACTTAAAAAAACAAATACCACCATTTTTATCACTTAGAATGGTTTAAAATGTTTATCACTATGTTTCAATCAAAATGTTAATTTATTTATGCATTGTTTTTCTTTAAAGGTTTTCACTTTGTTCACTTACAAAAAATCGACTCAGATACCCAAAAAATTTAGATAAGTTAGTCTCAATAATTTACATTATTTGTCTGATAGTTTGTTTTAATCAAGACAATTTTTCAGAATATTAGATTATAAAATTAAAATAGTCTAATATATAGAAAAAGTAAATAATTTTTTTTTTCAAAAGTAGCCTGCCAAGAGCAACACATTGTTGTGTCAATAATGACAAAAACGGTCTATTTTGGAGAAGATATTAATTTCAAACTTTCAAAAAAACTTTTTTAAACAATATTGATTCAATTGATAAAATAATTTTTTACCTTGGATTTAGCTTTTACATAAATATTTTTAGCAGAAAGGAAAGGCTGTAATGACTGCCTGCTTAAAAGGGTACTGTTTAACCAGTAAGTCTCCATAATTATACTAAAAAGTTTCTATTAAAAAAATATATATTTTTTTAAAATGCTGTTAATTAGTCATCCTAAAATTTATCACCCTTGCAATCTAAAAAACAACTTCATTTTCCATGCATCATCAACATTCTCAACGTATTATTTCTAATTGTTTCATTTCATTATCTTGCAATAAGTTGCAAAGTAAGTTTTAAATGACCAGTACCTAATAAGTTTCAAAGTAAATTTTAAATAAGCAATACCTAAAATTTTTCTTACAAAATATACATGATAAAAAAAGTTATGTTGGCATAATATGTCAATCAATGATAAAAGAGTTTCAAAGGCTTTCCTATCATTAGCAGATGAATATTATCAGAATTTAATAGCGAACCTCGTACAACCCTAATTCATTAAATTGGACTATTTTGGCTAGGGAATTTAAAATATATAGGCCTACATTTTAAATTCCCTATCTAAAAGAGTTCAATTTAATCAATTAGGTTTGTAAATTGGAAAAAATATAATAAAAATTTTGTTTTGATGTCACATTAAACTGCTCAGAAAATTCTTATGGCCTTCTAAAAAAATCTAATGATGAATTATCGTTTATTAATATAAATTCAAATTATCCCCTCAAATCTTATATGGACCAGTATCACTTACTTCAGTTATAAGCAAAGTAATGGAACATATCTTAAAAGCTACATTTATGTCTTTTGACTAAGGAACAGCATGGATTTTCTAAAAAAAAAACTGTTGTGCAAACCTTATAGAATCTATGTATCTAATAACTCAGGCAATGAAAGATGATTTACAAGCAGATATTGTTTTCCTAAATATGAAAAATGTTTTTGATTCTGTGCCTTACAACAGATTGTGTCTTAAACTAAAAAGTTATGGGTTTAACAATAAAGCACTTGAATGTTGCAGAAATTTTGTATGTAACAGAGTGCAACATGTCATTTGCAACAGCGAGTTTTCAAATTGATCTCCAGTTACTAGTGGAGTACTGCAATGTTCTGTCTTAAGTCCATTTATATTTACTGTTTATATCAGGATTGGCAAAAACTCGTTTTTTTTTTTAAAAAAAAATGGTCCAGTGGGTATTTTTGGGTAATTTTGGGTTTTATTTGATAAATTTGGTTTTTTTTGGGTTTTATTTTTATTTTGTATCTGTTAAATTTTTTTTTTTTAATGATATTAAAAACTAGTATAATTTTCTACTTTCACTTTATTAAAAATATATTTTATATAATGTTATTTAATAATTTATAACAAGAATTTTTCAAATTATTTTGAAAAAGATTTATAAACATAGTTTAAAATATTTAAGATTTTTAAACGTAGTGTAAAATATTAAGATTTTTAAACATAGTTTAAAACTGTAAAAGAAAAAAAAAATTCACTTTAAATCTATATGTATTGATTTATTTTAGATTTAAAAGTTATATTTTTTATAATTTAAAATGTTGATAGGAAAAAGAAGGCTGGAGAATAATAGTTATAATGTTAATGTTGGTTATAATAGTTAATAAAATTATAAAATATATTTAATAAAAGCCAATAAAACCCAATTACCAGGGTTTTATTGGCATTTCTTTGGGTGGGTTTTTTAATGCCAATCCTTTTTTATATAAACGACTTGAACTTGACTTAAATAAACCTTGCTTTATATAACCGAGTGAGTTATCAACCAATTGTAAAATCATACATTTTGATGATGATATAAAACTAATAAACATAATTAGACCATCTTCTGATATAGAAAAGACTCAAACAGATCTAAGCAAATTAATGATATGGTCAAAATTATGGCTAATTAAATTTGATATTAACAAATGTAAAGTATGCATATAAGTAGCAAAAATACTAAGTATATATGCACAATGTATGATTTGATGTTAAACAGAGTTGAACTACCAGAAACCAAAATTGAAAAAGATTTAGGAATTATGATATTATAAACGACTTAAAGTGGTCTAGTCAAGTTAATTATGTATCTGGTAAAGCTAATAGAAGGTTAGGAATATTAAAACATTCATTTAAAAATTTGTACATAAGCGTATGTAAACTATTGTATACTTCTCTTGTAAGACCGTATCTAGATTATGCAAGTTCAATGTGGTATCCTTACTTCAAACAATTAAAAAAAAAATTGAAATGATACAACATAAAACAACACGAACAAAATGCCTTTAAGGGAAAAACTATGAAACTAGACTAACCTACTTTAAATTTTTTTTTTTTTTTTTAGGTGCTCTAAGAAGTTCTTACGGTCTTATGGCAGATAACCGCGGAAGAGCATTTAATAGGAAGTTCATGCCTCCTTCCCAACCAATGTCGCAAAACTTGCATTTACATTTTACATTTGTTTACATTTCTGATGCAAGTTTGCTACCACTATGCCACGACTGCTCATCAGGGTTAGGGTTCTATTTATTTTTTTATTGGTTTATTCTTAACAAACTGTGTTATTAACAACTGGAATAACTTAGGTCAAAACATTTTAGATTCAAAAACGCTTAAAGAGTTTAAATTAAAGTTGGAATTATTTTTAACATAAATTAATAATTCTTAAAAAAAGACGCAAAGTTAATGACCTAATCCAATTTTACAAAATAGTAAAAAAATAGATAATTCAACCTTGGAATTCCCATCTGATTGAATAGTTTCAAATACAAGAGGTCATAATATGAGGTTTCATAGACAATTAATAAAAAATCTAAAGGGATACCATTTCTTAACAAACTGTATTATTAACAACTGGAATAGCTTAGATCAAAGCATTTTAGATTCTAAAAAACTTATTAAAAGTTTAAATCAAAGTTTGACTTATTTTTAAGATAAATAGGCTGGTTAAGTCTAGATTACCTAGGCTCCGCACATTGTTATTGTACATGTACACAGTTATTATTGAATAAATTATTAAATAAATAAATTATTAAATTAATAAAAAGTTATAAAAGCCACAATGTTGCATTGATTAATAAAAAAGATTTTCTCATAAAATAAAATACTAAAATAATTTTTTTATTTAATATAGTTAATGTAACGGTGTCCTGGTTGCAAAGTATTACAGTTGTTATATAATTAATGATAGCAATATCCAACTTCCTGTTTTTTCTATAATTTGAATTTTTTGATAATTTGACATTCTTCCTGATGAATCTATACAAGGAGAAACAGCCTGTCAAAGAAAAAATCAGGTATTAATCAGAAAATAAATTAGATGCGACCATTAGACATTATAAACAACCATAACAACAAAAAAAGTTATATACAGAAATACAACACCAAGGGCTATTTTAGGAAAATAATTTGGGCGGCTGTACCTCCCATGTGGGAAAAGTTTGGCGGATATAAAAAATATTGCAGAATGCAGGCATTTTTTTTTTTTTTTTTTTTTTTTTTGCGATAAAACAATATTTGCCATATAAATGACAAACATAAAAAAGTTCTCAATTTCAAATTTGGGCCCAAATACAGTCAGAGTCGCTGAAAACAGTCTAGAATTGCCCCTGAACACAGCATCAGCCCAGATAACATTAAAATTGTAGATAACAAATTTTTTTTGTGGTGGCATTTTGACACTAACTCATTTTGTTTATTAGATAATTTCATAGATGACATAATAATATGATATTCAGTTAAACAAAGATTCCATAACTTTCCTCCGTATCTCTTTACATAGCTCTGCCTTTTTTTTTTATTTGTCAGATATATTTAGAAAGTTCTTTAATGAACTTTCAAAATATATCAACAGCAACACTATTTTATACCTTGCTTTAACAAAACCAAATAATGTTTTGTGATTTTGGTTTTGTTGAAGCAAAGTGCAAATAGTGTTGCTCTATCGAAAACTTCCTTGCTTAATGAAGTATTGCTAATACATTTGGATACCATGGTTGGTATATACAGTTGGTATACCATTATTGAAAATATTTTTTGACAAGTTAAGCGTTATATCAAGAAAGTTTACAATTTTGAAGTTGTTTTTTGTTTCATTACGAAAGTAAAAAATTGCGCTCGTTTATTTGGTTGATCTATTAGTGCTATTTGTTGCGTCCAGAAATTCATTTACGGGCGCGTTTCACGTGTTGGGAGCAATCTCTCCAGATTCATCACAAGGCCTGCAAAAGAATGCATCTCATAGTCTTGGTTTATTGTATGCAAAATAAAGAAGCCAACTAACTCACATAATTCAGCCTCATCACAACTTCCCAGTGGCGTCAAAATCAAGGTCTCCAAGTTTTTTGACCCTAATTCTATTGTTTCCAGTAAAAAACTACTGTAAATGTATTTATCTGAACAAATTTTTTTTTTAAAAAAAAAAAAGTAAATTTTAAAAAGAAATTTTAAAGTGTTTAGAGTGATTTACGTATGCAGTTGCATCAAAAATTTGCACAAAATAAAAGTTTAACTTTTTTTTTTATATAACGCAAGTTAAAATGCAGCGATTATTTTTTAATAAAAAATATATATTGTGATATAACTTTCATAATGATGTTTGGAAAAATAATCTTTGCTTTCACAACAAAATCATTAAGAAAATAATAAAATTTTAATAACCAAAGTAAATAAATTAACGTAATTTTTTTTATATAAAATATCATTTGTAGTTGCAAAACTGCAATTTTAGAAATTTAAGAAATAGTCATTTAAAAATTCAAAAACTTATATTTTAATTATTTATGCAAATGTTGAGGAAAGAGAGAAATTTGTTAATATCAAACATTTTTAAAAATGTAATATTAAATTTGATTATTTAATATTAAAAAAAAAAAAAATTAAAGAAATTAAACATTCTCTTATAGTAATAATAAAAAAGAACTTAAATAACATTTAATTGGTTTTGCGGAAATTAATAATATTGCAATAATTGAAAAAAGTTAATGTCTTTAAAGAATAAAAAAATTAAGGTAATTTTATGACATCAAATTCACATAAGGCTATTGTACTAAGCATTTTTTATTTAAAATAAGGCCTGAAAAGAGTTATGATTATTATGAATGCAAATTTAATCAAGAATTCAATTAGCAAAAAAAAAATTACAATTATTAGCTTCAATTCTTTTTGACTTCGACTTTAATTCTTTATGACTTCGACTTAATTCTTTTTGACTCGATTTTTGACCCGAACTTTAATTCTTTTTGACTGAAATTTAATTCTTCTTGACTCGATGCATGGGTTTTGCTTGTGTCTCTGTTTTTATGACAAGGCAACTCATTCTATTATCTCCAAATAAGGGTACAGCTCTAAAACTCAGTTTTATGGTTCTGAGGCCGGCTGGTAGTCAGGTTTCCCGAACTCTGTGGTAGCTCTCAGAGAGGCGGATTCCATCAACAGCTGAAAAATATCAGAGTACTAACAGTGCCATGTTGCGCATGGATGGTGTCCCTGTTTGTACTTTTGGTGTGCATTGCCAAGGCCACATTGGAGCCCTTTGTTACGGCTTAGGGTTTATTAGTGGAAATGAGGCAATTGCTTGGACTATAAAACAGTGTACTGAGTACTATCTATGTTTCGAGTCAAGTTCTTTAACAAATTTAAAAATGAATAAAGTAACAAAAACTATAAAACACAAAAAACCACAGTCATCACCAAGTTCGCTAAACATTTCATTCACCAATATTCGTGGTCTTCGAAGTAACTTTTCTTCTGTTGAGTCTTATCTCTTGCAAAGTTCACCAGACCTACTTGCTCTTTGTGAGACTAATTTGAGTTCAGCTGTCTCATCTTGTGATCTTAGTGTTGATGGTTATCTTCCTTTAATTCATAAAGACTCCAATAGTCACATATTTGGCCTAGCCATTTACATTCGTAAGAATTCACCCATTTGTCGGGAAACTAGGTTTGAATCCACAGACTACTCTTTTATGTGCTTTCGCTTAGCACCACTTCACTCTATCACCTTTCTCTTTGTTCTATATCGCTCTCTTTCATCTCAAGACTGCACTCTTCTTGATGTCATTTCTGATTATATTGACCAAGCCCTCATTCTTTATCCATCAGCCAATATTGTTGTTGTCGGTGACTTTAATGTTCATCACACTGAATGGCTTGGCTCTAGTGTCAGTGACTCTGCAGGCATTAAGGCCCACAACTTTTGCCTTTCTCAATCCCTAACTCAAATAGTCAACTTTCCAACTGTCTTTCCAGACAACCCGAATCATTTACCTTCTCTACTCGACTTATGTCTTGTTTCTAATCCTAGTCAGTGCTCAGTTTTTCCACACTCACCCTTTGGTGCTTCTGATCATGGTTTGGTCTCTCTAAAACTATTATCTCATTCTTCTTTACCATCAGAATCCCCCTATCATTGTACATCTTACAACTACCTTAAAGCTGACTGGGACTCTTTCCGTGATTTTCTTCGTGATGGCCCCTGGGTAGAAATCTTTCGTCTTCCTGTTGACAAATGTACTTCTTACATAACTTCATGGATTCAGCCTGGCATGGAATCCTTTATTCCCTCTCAACGATCAAGCCTCACTTTTCTCCATGGTTTTCCTCACATTGTGCTGCTGCAATTGCCAATCGAAACCATTACTTCCATATCTACCAGCAAAACAATCTTCCAGAAAACAGACGTCTGTTTATTACAGCTAGGAACCATTGTAAAAAGGTTTTGTCTATTTAAGCTATTCTCAGATCATGAAATCTCGTATTTCATCACAAAAATTAGGCTCTTGTGACTTCTTCTTTAATAGTATCAATAATAAGGGCAAGTCTGTAATTCCACCTCTTTTGTATGGTTCAGACTTTGTCATCTCACCTAAAGACAAAGCTGAATTGTTTGCCAAGAACTTTTCATCAATATCATCTCTTGATTCCACTAGTTGCGTTCTACCTGATATAGCCGTCAAACAGGTTGATCCACTGCTCGACATCCGTATCACTCCAGCTTCTGTATCTTAAGTGATTTCCTGCTTAGACTCTTCTACAGCTTGCGGCCCGGACAACATACCTGTTATAGTCTTACACAAGTGTTCTTCGGAGCTGTCGTCTATCCTTTCAAAACTATTTAACAAAGAGAGGTTAAAGCCATTGCTCTTGACATTTCTAAAGCGTTTGTTAAAGTTTGGGATGCTGGTCTTCTCCATAAGCTTTCTTCTTACGGTGTATCTGGAAACATCTTTAAGATTATTGAATCCTTCCTTTCCATTCGTAGTATAAAAGTTGTCCTTGATGGACAGCACTCTTCTTCTTATTCTGTAACCTCAAGGGTTCCATAAGGTTCTATCCTTGGCCCTATACTCTTTTTTAATTTACATTAAAGATCTTCCAGATATTCTCACATCTAAGGTGGCATTGTTCGCTGATGATACTACCATTTATTCTTGTCAAGATAAGAAGCCAACTCGTATGGAATACTGTTAACTAATAAAAGTTAAATAACTTGTATGGAATACTGTTGCCATATCTGGGATGGATCTTCTAATGATGCCCTTTCTCTTTTAGACAAGGTGCAAAAACGCATTGTAAACATATTTGGACCTGCTATTGCAGCCAACCTTCAACCTCTGTCACATCGTGGTAATGTTGCTTCTCTTTCTCTTTTCTACAAATACTATAATGGGCACTGCTCTAAAGAGCAGGTGTCTCTTGTGCCATCTACTAAAATTCATTCTCGTGTTACTCGTCATTCAATTAAGTCTCATCCTTTTTCTGTTACTGTTCCTAAATGCTCCAAAAACTCTTATTCGTCTAGTTTTTATCCTCGAACATCAGTTCCTCAAACATTCACTGATACGTTTTCTAATGATTGATACGATTATCCTTAGGGTGCTTGTTTTTTTGGTTAATGAGAAATGAAGATAAAATGTTTTCTTAATCTTAATTTTTTAGCTGAGACCAGAAGAGATTTATTGAAAATGTTGACATAATCCTTAGAGTCCATAATTCCGTCTATTAACTCCATCTTTCTTGTTCTGTTCCAACCATCAATCCCTAGACCATCACATTGCCTCCTCCAAATTTTACTGTTCCTTGACTGCAACTGTTTGTGAATGCTTCATTTTTTTTACATACTTTTCGATCTCCATCTTCACAAGATTAAACTTTGACTCACAAAACTTTATTCCAGAAAGATACTGGAATACTTACACATTTTTTAGCAAATGCAAGTCTCGTTGAGTTTTTGAAAGAAGTGGTTTCTTGTGTGAAACTCTTGCTTTAAATCCACTCTCATTCAATCGATTTCAAATACATGCACTCACTTGTATTTCAAATTCTTTTTCAAAAAGACATGAGACATTTGGTGCTAATAAAAATTGTTTTTTTTTTTTTTTTGCACCATCATGGCAGTTGGTCAATCAATTCTGAATGTTGTTTTACACCTAGTTTCAAATCTTGGCTAATTTTTCGCATATCCAAATGTTTTGTACTAGAATAGCCAAATTTTGCTGAGCTTGTGACCATTTTTTGATTTTAACTCGTATAAGTAGTAGACCGAATGAATTTGAAAATTATCACTCAATTATTAAGGGTTACTTGTTATTAAACAACAGTTTTTCTAAAACTTAAAACTTTTTTTTAATAATCTTTCAAATTTTTGTTTACAAAGCAACATGTTTGGATAATTATTTTTTGTTAAAGTTTTAACACACCTCAAGGAGTTGTTAAATTTCAAAAACGTAGGTTAATTAAAACTTTTTTTTGAATTTTTGAAATCATGAGTTTGCTCTCTGAATAATTATAACAGTATTCTTCAAAATCTAATATTTTTTCCAATAAGATTTTTTGTTCAGACTTATTTCTCTGACTGTATTTTGGAGTTAATGTTGTGTTTTTGTATTATACTATCATATGTTGATTCATTTTTATTCTATTTTTAGTTGTGGAATTAACAGAAACTCAGTTTCATTCTTCTGCTCAAAAAACATGAAAATGAAACCTCACACAATATATTCATATGATGGATGCATAGATATTGTTCATAGGAAAAATGGCAAATCTTTACATGATAACTATTTTTCTGCTTATTATTCAACACATTCACAAAATGTTTCTTGGGGTCCTACAACCTGTTCCAGGTATTTATATATAACCACCAATATATATATATATATATATATATATATATATATATATATATATATATATATATATATATATATATATATATATATATATATATATTTATATATTTATATATATATATATATATATATATAATATATATAATATATATAATATATATAATATATATAATATATATAATATATATAATCAGTAATTCGTTATAATACAATGATAAAAACTTTTTTTATAACCAGAATATACCAGTCTTATATTCTGTGGTTTTTTCTGTTTTTCAAGGTATGCTTCAGCATTGAGTCTACGTAGACTATGTACAGTTGACCAAGACATTTCCCGATAATAACTGAACAAAACATGATTTTAGGAGGATGTTTAATTTTCTGGATTATAAAATCTTCATGAAACTTTTTATTGGCAGCCCTTTGACATATTGAGCCTTTTGAGCCATAATTTCTATGGTAGCTACCATAAAAATAGATCTATTTAAGATGGAGCCCCATGCCACACTGCAAAATCTAATTAAAAAATTATGAGCTTCTAAAATTATTAGATTTGTCAGGACACTTCCCAGATTTAAACTCTGTAGAAAAAGTATGGGAGTCATTAGAGAGAGAAATTTCCATTGAAAAAATCACAAATAAGACCAAATCGATAAAATAAGTTATTTGGCATTGGAACCATAATAAAGATTTAAAAGAAATGACTTTAAATTGTTAAATGCCAAATAGTATATTAAGACAATTTAATGTAAGAATTTGTTTATTATCATTTATGTGTATTATGTATATCATTTATATTATCTTTTTTGTGTATTTTATGTTAGAAAATAGTTTTATTTTACAAAAATTTATCATTTAATTCTATTATATTGGGAAAAAAAAAACATGTTTTAAAAACAGAATGACAAAAAATACAAAAAATTAGATTGTGGGCTTATCATTCGATCTGGGAAATTATATGAAACAGTGTAAAATGAAAAAAGTTGATGTTTTCATTCAATTTTTTCTTGAACAAATTGTTTTTCATTATGACAAAGTAAAAAAAATAGATTATTTTCCATTCACTTTATATAGAAATTTAAGTAGTTAGAAAGTCAAAGTTTTTTATAAGTCTTATTAGTCTTAAATTAAAAATTTTTTTTTTTGTTAAAAAAAATATTTTTAATGAAATATTAAAGTAATTTATTCTTATAAATTTGAACTTTTTTTATATAATTTAGTTTTTATTTCACTTGTTTAATGTTTGCGATAGAGTGTTTCAAACATTAAATGAAAAATAATGCCCCTTTTACTAAAAATATTTAACAATTAAAAATGTTTATGACTTAAATAAAATTTTCTTCTACATTTGCATGATCTTCTAGTTCTGATAGTTACAGTAACTTGATCTAAGTTTGATTTTCAGGAATGACCCTTGCTGTGACACTTACAGACATCCCTGCAGTTTTCATTCATTTAATTTTATAATTATTGTAAGCCAATATTAAATAACAACATATTATCTAAATTCTTTTAAATTTTGCAGTAAGTTTTAAAATTTCAAGTTTCAACTTCTAGATTAACTTTTCGAATGGATGAATTCTTACATTCGTAAAAATTCATCCATTTGTCAGGAAACTAGGTTTGAATCCACAGACTATTCTTTTATGTGCTTTCATTTAACTTCAATTTATTGCCTTTCTGTTTGTTCTATACTGCTCTCCTTCATCTCAAGACTGCACTTTTTTCGATGTTATTTTTGATTAAATCAATCAAGCCCTTTCTATTTATCTTTCAGCCAATACTGTGGTTGTTAGTGACTTTAATGCTCATCACACTGAATGACATGGCTCTAGTGTCAGTGACTCTGCAGGCGTTAAGACCCACAACTTTTTTTATTTTTTAATTATTGTGTTAGAGATTGAGAAAGACCAAAAAGTCTTTCTCAATCTCTAACACAATAATTTTCCAACTCCCTTTTCAGACAATCCGAATCATTTACCTTCTCTACTTGACTTATGTCTTGTTTCTGATCCTAGTCAGTGCTCATTTTCTCCACATTCACCTTTAGGTGCTTCTGATCATGGTTTGATCTTTTTAAAACTATTATCTCATTCTTCTTTATCATCAGAATCCCCTTATCATTGTACCTCTTACAACTACCTTAAATCTGACTGGGACTCTTTACATGATGGGCCTTGGGTAGATTTCTTTTGTCTTTCTGCTGACAAATGTGCTTCGTATAAAACTTCTTGTATTCAGGCTTGCATTGAATATTTTATTCCCTTTTGACGATTTTAAGTCAAGCCTCACTCTTCTCCATGGTTTTCCTCTTATTGTGCTGCTGCAATTACTTTCATCAGCAAAATTTACTTTCATCAGCAAAATTTACTTTCATCAGCAAAATTTACTTTCATCAGCAAAATTTACTTTCATCAGCAAAATTTACTTTCATCAGCAAAATTTACTTTTATTAGCAAAACAATTCTCCAGAAAACAGACTTCTATTTACTATTGCTAGAAATCAATTAAAAAAAGTTTTCTTTAACACTAAAGCCCGTTATTCTCTGGTCACAAAATCTCGTATTTCATCTCAAAAATTAGGCTCTCATGACTTCTTAAGAATCTTTAACAGTATCTCAAATAAGGACAAATCTATTTTCACTATTCTTGTATGGTTCAGATTTTGTCACCTCACCTAAAGACAAGGCTGAATTGTTTGCTAAGAATTTCTCATTAATATCAGGCTTGGTTAAGAAGTGGTAGTGATCGCTCTCGATTACTGACCATGGAAATAATATTTAATTGCAAAAAACTGGCCATATTTTTTAGTATTATTGAGAACATTTCAAAAAAGAAAAAAAAGTGCAAAAGATTAATTGGACCGATAAGAGACAATTACAAAAAAAAAAAAAAAAAAATTAGGAAAGTAAAATATTTTTTAAGGCAAAAAAACTTAAAGCAAAATAAATTAGGTTTAGAACAAATATTTTCGGAACATTGTTCTTTCATGATTTTTTTATAAAATTAAGCGACATTTTTGATATTAGGTAACATCTTACAATTGCTTAAAAAGGAAACAAATGTTCTTTATTTAACAAAGAGTGTAATAATTTATATACCCGTGTCTTATTTCCAGTGCTAGATTAAGCTATAGCCCTGGGCCCCACAATGTTAGAGGCTCCAAAAAGGTCAAGAAGACCATTTTTTTTAGTCATTTTTACGCTGTGGCACATAAAAAGGCCCCCAAAATAAAAATAGCCCCCGGCCCCGAAAAGTCTAACAAGATTCTAATAAAACTAACGCAAGTTTTAGTTTTATTTAAGCTGAATTATTTTATAAATAAAAAAGTTAATTTTTAAGTTAATAACTATTTTATGCTTCACGTAGTTTGAAAAGTCTAACATATTTGAAACAATTCTTCTTAGTAAGATGAACAAATGAAATAATTCAATCATTGAATTACTATATGATGTTTAGTGAGTGGGCTTTTTACTTTATTTATTTAAAGCAGGAAAAAGTATAACAAGTTTTTCAGACAACTGAAGCAAAAATAATTAGAGTTAGTAAACCAATATCTAAAAACTTTTCTTTATATCTAATAACTTGCTATATATATTTGTGTTCTGTCATGACCTCAGGCGCGGTTATTAATAACTTGGAAACGCAATTATTTTGAAATTTTTATTTTTTTTTTCCAACATCTTCGCTTCCAACAAGGCTGCAAGCAACCACTAATTAGTGTTGGAAGTTACTGGAAGAGAAAAGATGAAGATTGTAGAGCAAGATAACGATTGACAGACGACTTAAAAGATTGCAAATTATATGAATCAGGAAAGCAAGATGAAGGAAGTGAATTCCAAAGAACTGATGTTCGAGGGAAAACACTAGACGAATAAGAGTTTTTGGAGCATTTAGGAACAGTAACAGAAAAAGGATGAGACTTAATTGAATGACGAGTAACACGAGAATGAATTTTAGTAGATGGCACAAGAGACGCCTGCTCTTTAGAGCAGTGCCCATTATAGTATTTGTAGAAAAGAGAAAGAGAAGCAACATTACCACAATGTGACAGAGGTTGAAGGTTGGCTGCAATAGCAGGTCCAAATATGTTTACAATGCGTTTTTGCACCTTGTCTAAAAGAGAAAGGGCATCATTAGAAGATCCATCCCAGATATGGCAACAGTATTCCATACAAGGCTGGATTTGAGATTTATAGAGATAGAGAATAGAATCCAGAGTAAGAAAGTGACGAGCTCGATAAAGAGAAGCGACTTTAGCAGATGCTAATTTTGCAACGGATTTGATATAAGGTTTCCAAGAAAGATCAGAAGTAAGAGTTAATCCTAGAAGATGAAGGGTAGGAGACTCATCGAGTACATTACCGTTCATAAATATAGGTCTGAATTATTGTGATAACAATTGGCTGAAAAAAATTGAGTTTTATCTGAATTAAAGTTCACCAGCCACTGTGAGCCCCATGCTGTAGCAGAAGTGAGATCCTTTTCAAGCTCAAATGCCCCCTGCAAGCAATCAGAGGGAGTTGGTTTCTTATCGTGACAAGAATAAATGGTAGTATCATCAGCGAACAATGCCACCTTAGATGTGAGAATATCTAGAAGATCGTTAATGTAAATTAAAAAGAGTATAGGGCCAAGGATAGAACCTTATGGAACCCTTGAGGTTACAGAATAAGAAGAAGAGTGCTGTCCATCAAGGACAACTTTTATACTACGAATGGAAAGGAAGGATTCAATAATCTTAAAGATGTTTCCAGATACACCGTAAGAAGAAAGCTTATGGAGAAGACCAGCATGCCAAACTTTAACAAACCCTTTAGAAATGTCAAGAGCGATGGCTTTAACCTCTCCTTGTTAAATAGTTTTGAAAGGATAGACGACAGCTCCGGAGAACACTTGTGTAAGACTATAACAGGTATGTTGTCCGGGCCGCAAGCTGTAGAAGAGTCTAAGCAGGAAATCACTTTAGATACAGAAGCTGGAGTGATACGGATGTCGAGCAGTGGATCAAATTGTTTGACGGCTATATCAGGTAGAACGCAACTAGTGGAATCAAGAGATGATATTGATGAAAAGTTCTTGGCAAACAATTCAGCTTTGTCTTTAAGTGAGATGACAAAGTCTGAACCATACAAAAGAGGTGGAATTACAGACTTGCCCTTATTATTGATACTATTAAAGAAGAAGTCACGAGAGCCTAATTTTTGTGATGAATTACGAGATTTCATGGTCTGAGAATAGCGGGCTTTCGCATTAGACAAAACCTTTTTACAATGGTTCCTAGCAGTAATAAACAGACGTCTGTTTTCTGGAAGATTGTTTTGCTGGTAGATATGGAAGTAATGGTTTCGATTGGCAATTGCAGCAGCACAATGTGAGGAAAACCATGGAGAAAAGTGAGGCTTGATCGTTGAGAGGGAATAAAGGATTCCATGCCAGGCTGAATCCATGAAGTTATGTAAGAAGTACATTTGTCAACAGGAAGACGAAAGATTTCTACCCAGGGGCCATCACGAAGAAAATCACGGAAAGAGTCCCAGTCAGCTTTAAGGTAGTTGTAAGATGTACAATGATAGGGGGATTCTGATGGTAAAGAAGAATGAGATAATAGTTTTAGAGAGACCAAACCATGATCAGAAGCACCAAAGGGTGAGTGTGGAAAAACTGAGCACTGACTAGGATTAGAAACAAGACATAAGTCGAGTAGAGAAGGTAAATGATTCGGGTTGTCTAGAAAGCCAGTTGGAAAGTTGACTATTTGAGTTAGGGATTGAGAAAGGCAAAAGTTGTGGGCCTTAATGCCTGCAGAGTCACTGACACTAGAGCCAAGCCATTCAGTGTGATGAACATTAAAGTCACCGACAACAACAATATTGGCTGATGGATAAAGAATGAGGGCTTGGTCAATAAAATCAGAAATGACATCAAGAAGAGTGCAGTCTTGAGATGAAAGAGAGCGATATAGAACAAAGAGAAAGGTGATAGAGTGAAGTGGTGCTAAGCGAAAGCACATAAAAGAGTAGTCTGTGGATTCAAACCTAGTTTCCCGACAAATGGGTGAATTCTTACGAATGTAAATGGCTAGGCCAAATATGTGACTATTGGAGTCTTTATGAATTAAAGGAAGATAACCATCAACACTAAGATCACAAGATGAGACAGCTGAACTCAAATTAGTCTCACAAAGAGCAAGTAGGTCTGGTGAACTTTGCAAGAGATAAGACTCAACAGAAGAAAAGTTACTTCGAAGACCACGAATATTGGTGAATGAAATGTTTAGCGAACTTGGTGATGACTGTGGTTTTTTGTGTTTTATAGTTTTTGTTACTTTATTCATTTTTAAATTTGTTAAAGAACTTGTCTCGAAACATATAGTATAGTACTCAGTACACTGTTTTATAGTCCAAGCAATTGCCTCATTTCCACTAATAAACCCTAAGCCTTAACAAAGGGCTCCAATGTGGCCTTGGCAATGCACACCAAAAGTACAAACAGGGACACCATCCATGCGCAACATGGCACTGTTAGTACTCTGATATTTTTCAGTTGTTGATGGAATCAGCCTCTCTGAGAGCTACCACAGAGTTCGGGAAACCTGACTACCAGCCGGCCTCAAAGTCAAGAAGATCCAGCGTTCAACATCCTAAACTGGAAACATTAAAATACATCTGCGTCAGCCTAATTGATGGAGAAGGGGTGCAAGGCTGGTCAACAGATAGAATATGTTTACCCCTTAAGTCTTTGTCTAAAAGGCCTTTTACAAGACTACAGCCGGATGCATTTAATATCTGCCCAAGATGAGTATTTTTCAAGACACTATCTCTAAATATATATATTTATATATATTTAAGTGTTTTCAAAAAAATCATACAAACTTACAGCTTTTTCTAAAACAATATGTCCAGTTTTAGTCTTTTAAAAGTAATTGCAGCAACTTTAGTATCTAAAAAGTCTTAGTTTACAAAGTAAATCAAAAATATTGCTTAAAAAAGACACACAAAAATACATTTACATAAAAAATACATACTTTTCAAATAAAAAATAAGAATTTACTAATAAAATCTATAATTTATTATAAACTTTCAAAATTTTAACAATTTAAAAAATATATATTATAAAACATTTATTTTTGTAAGCAAATAATAATAGTTTAAAAGATTTATGGCTTTGCAGATGTGGCTTCGAGAATGAACAATAGTATCAAAAGTTTGTTTGATATTATTTTCTTAAAACAATTTATGTTAGAAATCTCAAAGCGTAACAAATCGTGAATAATACAATTTTAAAACATTTCAGCAGAATACTCTCGAACTTTATTTTGTTTATTCAGCGTATTTTTTGAACCAATAGAATTAGTTTGTTCATAGATTTGGCAGATTTTTAGTGTTCGCGAATATTCTTTTTATTCTTCCGCACCAAGATGTTTTGAGAACATTTAAGTTTATGTATGTTTCCATTTATGTCTGTAAAACAAAAATTTGTTGTTACATAAACTTAAATGTTCTCAAAACAACTAAAAAACCTGGCCAGTTTTTTGCAACAAAATATTATTTCCATGGTCAGTATTTGAGAGCAATCACTCCCGCTTCCCGACCAAGCCTGCAATATTATCCTTTGATTCCACTAGTTGCATTCTACCTAATATAGTTGACAAACAGATTTGTCTGTTGCCTGACTTTCATATCACTCCAGCTTTTGTATCAAAAGTAATTTCCTACTTAGACTCTTCTACAGCTTGTGGTCCGCACAACGTACCTGTTATTGTCTTGCAGAAGTATTCTCCATTTGTTATTTGTTATTTGTTCTCCCTATTTTCAAAAAATCTGGAGAGCGGTCTGACTTGTTTAAATTCTCGCAGTTTTCTTACTATCGTAAGCAAGGTTTTTGAGTCTTCAATTAACAAACATTTTATCTCTCATTTTGAATCTAATTGCTTACTTTCTGATCATCAATATGGATTGCAATTGCGATTTGTTTTACTGCTGATTTGTTAATGGTAATAACTGATAGGTTTTATCATGCATTAGATAGATGTGGAGAGGCCAAGGCTCTTAACATTTCTAAAGTCTTTTATAAAGTTTAGCATGCTGGTGTTCTCCATAAGCTCTCCTCTTACAGTGTAACAGATAACATCTTTAAAATTAATGAATCCTTCCTTACCAATTGTAGTATAAAAGTTGTCCTTGATGGTCAGCACTCATCTTCATGTCCTGTAACTTCAGGGGTTCCTCAAGGTTCTATTCTTGGCCCTATACACTTTTTAATTTACATTAACTGCTAAGGTTGCTTCTCTTTATCATGCTTGCCACTTTCTTACTCAGGATTCTATTCTTTATCTCCATAAATCTCAAATCTTTCCTTGTATGGAATGCTGTTGCCATATCTCAGGTGGATCTTGCAATGATGCCCTTTTTTTTTTTAGACGAGGTGCAAAATGATTTGTAAACATTGTAAAAATAGTTGGACCTATTCGTGCAGTCAACTTCTAACCTTTATCACACTGTCGTATTGTTGGTTCTTTTTCTCTTTTCTATAAATACTATAATGGGCACTGCTCTAAAAAGCTAGTGTCTCTTGTGCCATCCACTAAAATTCATTCTTCTGTTACTTGTCATTCAATTAAGTCTCATCCTTTTTTGTGACTTTTTCTTAGTGCTCCAAAAATTCATATTTATTTAGTTTTTTTCCTTGAGTATCAGTTCTTTGGAATTTGCTTCCTCTATCTTGTTTTCCTGATTCATATAATTTGTAATCTTTCAAGTCGTCTTTCAATTGTTATCTTGCTCTATAAACTTCATCTTTTTTCTTACAGTAACTTCCAACTTTAATAGTGGTTGCTTGCAGCTTTGTTGGAAGTGAAGATGTTAAAAAAAAAGAGAAAAAGAAAATTTGAACAAGAGAATTTCAGAAGATTAAATTCACTTGTTCAAATTGAATTCCTAAAAAAAACTTTTGTATTTATAGAAAATTGTATTGCTATAAAAAAAATAAAAATATAAAATAATGGTATTGAGTTTTTCATATTCTTTTCAAAAATTTTATACATTATGTAGTATACATTTTTTATTATCACAATATTATATATGTTTATTAGAGCATTATTATCACAACATATATGTTTATTAGAGCATTATTATCACAATATTATATATGTTTATTAGAGCATTATTATCACAATATTATATATGTTTATTAGAGCATTATTATCACAGTATTATATATTTTTACTAGAGCATTATTATCACAATATTATATATGTTTATTAGAGGATTATTATCACAATATTATATATGTTTATTAGAGCATTATTATCACAATATTATATATGTTTATTAGAGCATTATAATGCATACTATATGCATATGTGATAGTGGTCTAGTGGAAGAGCGTTTGTTTCACAAATTAAAAAAGAGATTTTAAGTTTGATCCCCACCACGTCTCTGTTACCTCGCTCAACTTGTTTCTTTGTACAGCAGCCTTGTTCATCAAGGTTTGTGTTTCGGAGTTATAAAGTTTAGAGAGGGTTATAACCACAATTAAATAGCCTCCTCGTCTGTAGTGGCCTTCTCTGCCTTGGGGAGGTGAATAAATATAAAAAAATATATACATAATTATCAACATATTTCTGTGCATTATTTTGTATACATTATTATCAGCATATTTGTAGACATTTATGGTTGGATACATTTATAGATTGAATAAAAGTTCTTTATTTATTTTTGATTTTGATTTTGTTTTTTGCTAATTTTTGATTTTGTTTTCAGATGTTTTCTAAAATATCTTTTTAATAAAATATGTGATAATTATTATTTATAAATTTTTATAAATTGTTTTTAATAATTATTGTATATAGGAGAGTAAATGACTGCTTTTTCTTAAATATTTTTAATTTTGTATTTTGTTTGCTTTTTTTCTATATAGTTTCTCTGCCAACCAATTTACATCTGGATTGATTATCAGTCCATCCTGGCCGCTTACTTATAGAAGTTCAATAAGTAAATGTAAATGGTCTGTAAATACTGGAGATACTATGGACATAATTAAACTTAATATTATGGATTTGGATATTTATCAAGAGGGTTCTTCTTGCAATGATAAGCTATTAATAAAAGGTTGTTTTATTTACCAAGTCATAAATTATTATATTTTGGTTGACGCAATATTTAAACTGCTGTAGCATTACAAAGTGAATAGAATATTTAGGTAGAAATTTTTAATATTTATGTTTTCATAGAATATTCTAGAACAGAAACAAGGAATTTTAAAAAGATTTTAGTAAAATATGAATGAATATAATAAATTAATTGTATTTTTTAAATCATTATCATAGTTTTTTAATAAAATTTTATTGTAGTAAGAGTGTGTAATAAAATTTTATGTAGTAAGAGTGTGTAATAAAATTTTATGTAGTAAGAGTGTGTAAGAAAAACATTTTTCTGCTTTAAATTTACTTCTAATTTTTTTAGAAACTGAAATTCAAATGTAGACAAATAAAAATCCATAAGCATTAATACCAGCAGTTTAAGAAAGGAAGAACTTTGTGGTATTTTGTGTAGTGTTCTTGATGTTATATTCCTTGATATTTGTATATAGGTTCTGATATTTATAAAACTCTTGATGTTTTATATAGTTCCTGATGTTTCTAATAATTAGTATTGTTTCTGATATTTTGATATTTCCTGATATTTCTTTTATATTTTTTAAAGTTAGTATTTTTTTGTTTGGTTAGTTGTGATGTTTTGTGTAGGTCCTGATATTTCATGTAATATAGTTCCTATATTATTCCTGATATTTTGTGCAATATAGTAACCACCCTGCCACTGACAACATGTAATTCAGTATAGCATGTCACATTTCTTGCTGTTATGTGTAGAACTGGGTTTTCTCTTTAATATTCTCTGTACTGTTTAACAATTGTTTTTTTTTGTTTTGTTTTTTTTGTTTTTTTTTTATTTCTGTTTAAGTTAAAAAGATTTAGTTCATTTTGATTGTGCTATTTAACCAAATTTTTTTTTTCCTTTTAACCTTCCTTTTCTCTTTTAGACAAAATCCAAAAACGCATTAGTTTAGCTAAACTTGCTTTCTCAGCCAAGCTTGAGCCTCTGTCTCATTGTTTTAAGGTTGTATCTCTTTCACTTTTATACAAATGTTTCTTGCATGAACGACCTATCATTATTTGTTCTACCAGCCATACATTTAAGTTGCTTCCACCAACTACCGTGTAACTATTTGTTTATCTATATATTCTCAAACATTAATGATTTCTAATTCTGCCATGTCCTAATCTTTTCCTGATTCTATTTCAAATGGGAAAGTGTATATGGAAAGGTTGGCTCAAATGTGGCATCTGTTATCTCTATTTTAAAAAATTCTGAAGAGCAATCTGACTTGTCTAACTACAAGGTTTTTGAGTCTTTTATCAACAAACACTCAATTTCTCATTTTGAATCTTATAACTTACTTTCTGATCTGATTCTGATCATCAATATGGATTTTGATTTTCTCGTTCTATTGTTGATTTTTTAATGGTAATAAACAATAGGTTTTATCATGCATTAGATAGTTGTGAAAAGATTAGAGCTATCACTCTCGACATTCCTAAAGCCTTTGATAAAGTTTGGCATGCTGGTCTTCTCCATAAGCTCATTTCTTATGGTGTATCAGGTAATATTTTAAAGATTAATGAATAGGTTTTTTATTTGGTCTTATACTTTTTTTAATATACATTTATGATATACAAGAAATTCTCGCATCTAAGGAGTTGTTTGGTAATAATTATACCATTTATTCTTGTCTTGATAAGATGCTAATACTCTCTAATTACTTAAAAGGGTCATTTGAGCTTGATAAGGATCTCACCTCTGATACAGCATGGGGCTCAAAGTAACTGGTGAACTTTAACTCAGATAAAACTCCATTTTTTTCAGCTAATCGTTATCACAATAATCTAGATTTTCCTATATCATGAAGGGTAATCTACTTAATGAGTTATCTACCTTCAGTCTTCTAAGATTAGCTCTTACTTCCAGTTTATTTTGGAAACTGAATATTAAATTTGCTAAGGTTGCATCTCATTATCGTGCTCACCACTTTCTTACTCCGGGTTCTATTCTTTATTTCTATAAATCTCTAATCTGTCCTTGTATAGAATACTGTTGCTATATTTAGAGCAGATCTTCAATTGATGCTTTTTCTCTTTTAGACAAGGTGAAAAAATAAATTGTAAACATAGTTGGACCTGCTTATGCAGCCAACCTTCAACCTTTATCACATCGTCGTAGTGTTTCTCTTTACTATAAATACTATAATGGATGCTGCTCTTAGGAGCTAGTGTCTCTTGTGCCATCTACTAAAGTTCATTCTCGTGTTACTTGTCATTTAAATATGTCTCAGTCTTTTACTGTGTCTGTTCCTAAGTGCTTCAAAAATTCTTTTTTATCTAGTTTTTTTCCTCAAACATCAGTTTTGGAATTCGCTCCCTTCTTGTTTTCTTGATTTATATAATTTGCAATCTTTAAAGTTGTCTGTTAATCAATATCTTGCTTTTTAAACTTTATCTTTTCTCCTCCACTTTTAACTCTAATAGTGATTGCTTGCAGTCTTGTTGGAAGTGAAGATGTTTAAAATAATAATAAAAATAATTATAGCAATAATAATAATAATAATAATAATAATAATAATAATAATGATGATAATAATAGCAATAATAATAATAATAATAATAATAATAATAATAATAATAATAATAGGGAAATTAGGAAATTAATAAGATTATTTTTTTTATTAAATATAGTTGAAGCTATGTAAATAATTATTTCATCAATTTCTCAGGATTTTCATTTACTTTTATGTTGCCAAAGGAATCAAATCTCCAAAAAAATGGAATTTTTGTCGGAATAATAAACCATTTTCAATTATAACTGATTATTATAACTTGGAAGTCCAAATGAATATATTAAACTACGAAAGGTTGACTTCAAATCGAGGTTTTGTGATTGGGATTACAGCTTGGAAAAGTAAAGGTATAATATTTTTTTAATTGGTTTAATTTTCAAATCTAGTGTAAACAAGGTGTTGAAAACTGCTGTTTTTTTTTTTTTTTTTTTTTTTTTTTTTTTTTTTTTTTTTAATCAAATGTTAAATTGATAAAAAAAAAAATGAAATGAGAAATTTAGGAATTTAATTTGATCTCAAAATCATTCCAGAAATGCATGAATTGTGAATTTTGTATATCAATGAATGTAACCATATATTTATTATCAAGTAGTGAGTCAATATGCTAATCGAGAGTTAAAAAAACATTTTATATAACTATATAAAATTTATCTTAACTTGTATTACAATTTATATTTAAGTTTTACATCATCTCATTTGTGTCATCTGTACTTGTACATACATACTTGTGTACAGAGGATGAGAAAATGTTTTGTGTCTACAATTATTATGAAAGTCAATTTAAAACTTGTTTGCAGTAGAGTTCTAAATTTTGTACAAAATTGTTTTTTAAATTTATTCAAAAGTAAATGGCAGTAGAGATCATTTTTTTTTTTTATTTTTTTTTTTATTTTCTCATAAGTTTTTGCTGCAAATGATTTATAGGTAAATTTAAAATTTATATTAGTAAAATCTTATTTTATGTAACATTCGTACGTTTTGTTGTAATGTTTCATAAAACAATTGTCTTCTTAGCATCAAATTTTATAAGTAAAAAATTTGCGAATGAATGTGAATAAAGTTATAAATAACTGGTTATTAAAGTTTTTCAAATCATCATAGATAAAAAAATATTGTATATTTTTCCTCATTAAAATCAGAGATTTAAAATAATAATTTAAAATTTTTGTTACTAAGAACATTTGTATTTAACTAAGAACATTTTCTCTACCAACAATTTTTTTTTTCTTTTTTTTTTTTCAATAAATTTTTTTTTTTTTTTTCGAAGCATTTTCCTGCCAATGAGAATTAGTAAATGCGCAATTGTATTATTTGCGTTTTTAAAAATTTTTTTTTCCTTTTTATTATTTAATTTTAATGAAAACATCAGACGTCAACCCATCTTAATGGAGGCGAATAAAAAGAGATAAACAGAGAAAAAGGCTTTCATTTTTCAATAGCATTCATAAAACAATTTTTTTCAGTATTAAATATTCAGTTTAAATTTTTTTATTTTTGTATAAAATTTGTTTTGATATTTTCAACAAAATAAATTTCAACATTCGATATATTGGATATTATCAAACTTTTTTTTTTAATTGAATGAAACTTTGTGCGCATGAGCATAATTTTAAGCAAATTAACATTAGCAGGTAATTTGAACATTAGTTATTTTCAAGTTTAAACTTAAAAAATAAAATTGATTTTATTTAAAATTATTATTTTAAAAAGTATACGAGTTAATTAATTTTTGAGCAATAAAAGTTAACAAACTCGTATTTTATGTGTGCTTAATTTTAATTATGAAGAACTATTATTCAGATGAAATTTCAACAAAGAAAAATTTTGATCATTTAAAAAAAAAATTGGCCGTCAATTTCATGTGTTAGCCAGTCAAATTTAGATATGAACAATAGGTTACTTACTATAAGAATAGTCCATTACTATTAGGGTAAAAATAACTTTTATTTTAATCCTAATAGTAATGAACTATTTTTTAAAGTTTTGTTGGGTATTTAGCTAAACTAGCATTTCAGACCTGTAAAATACAGGTCTCTTGGTAAGTCTACTCTACTCCAGAGCCTTAGCCTCTCCACATTTATCTAATGCATTATAAAACCTATTAGTTATTACTTTTAACAAATCAGCAGTAGAACAAGAAGATCGAAATTCATATTGATGATCAGAAATTAAGAAGCTGAAGTGATACAAACGTCAAGCAATGGATTAACCTGTTTTTTAGCTATATCAGGTAGAGCGCAACTAGTGGAATCAAGAGATGACATTAAATAAAAGTTCTTAGCAAACAATTCAGCTTTGTCTTGAAGTGAGGTAACAAAATCTAAACTATACAAGAGAAGTGGTATAACAGATTTGCCCATATTATTGATACTATTAAAGATTCTCCAGTCACGAGAGCCCAATTCTTTGAGATAAAATACGAGATTTTGTGACCTGATTACGATTAGAAATACAGCAGCACAATGAGAGGAAAAACATGGAGAAGAGTGAAGCTTGACTTGGAATCATTGAGAGGGAATAAAAGATTCCATGCCAGCCTGAATCCAAGAAGTTATGTATGAAGCACAAAGAATCCCAGTCAGCTTTAAGGTAGTAAAAGTTACGATGATAAGGGGATTCTGATGATAAAGAAGAATGAGATAATAGTTTTAAAGAGATCAAACCGTGATCAGAAGCACCTAAGGATGAATGTAGAGAAACTGAGCACTGACTAGGATCAGAAACAAATGGGTAAATGATTCATATTTTCTGGAAAGAGAATTGGAATGATATTATTTGTGTTAGAGAAAGGCAAAAGTTGTCACTGACACTAGAGCCAAGCCAGATAGATAAAAAACTTGACTCGAAGCACAAGTAGTACTCAGTACAATATCTAATAGTCAAAGCAATTATTTTTTTATTATCTCATTAGGAGATAATAAAATAAATAAAGCCTAGTCATAAAAACAGAGACACAAGCAAAACCCATGCGTTGAGTCAAGATGATCCAGCTTTCAACATACTAAACTGGAAACAATGTATTATAAATGCATAGTTTACTAATAGATGAAGGGGTGCGAGGCTGGTCATCAGATAGAATCTGTTTACTCCATAAGTCATTGTTATTATTTATACTTAAAAAAAAAAATTGTTATTAGATTCTTTTGTTAATTTGATATTTAAATTTTTCTGAAATCATAATTTTATTTTCCTTTTTTTTTTCTAATTTTTACGTATTTTTTCTGTAATTTTTTTAGTTTGTTTTATTTTTTATTGTTATTATTATTTTTTTATTATTATTTTCTGATTTAGCGTTTATTAAGATTTTCTTGAACACAAATATAAGAAATTATGTCCTTCCCGCAATATTTGTTGTTGTTGCTGTTATTATTATTATTGTGTATCGTTATATTCGAAGCAGGCGTATTTCACGATCTAACCAAAATATAACTCCACAATACAGTGCGGTACCAAACTCAGGTGCAGATACAATTGATCTTAACATTCCATCTAATCCGGAAGCATATGACTCTAAGCAAAGTTTTAATCCTAGTCCATACCCTGTTCAGCAAGCATATCCTCCATGTGAAGATGGACTCAAGCAACCATTAATCTATCCACCTGCTCAGCAGTATCAGGCCCCTATTCAACAATATCCAGGTCCTCCTTTACAATACCCAGCACCTTTTCAACCATACTTAGCAGCCCCGCCTCATCAATTTCCACCTCTTCAGCAAAATACAGGTAGCAATTATTTTATACAATAGCTTTTTATTATTATTGTTTTTTAATTTTATTTTTTGAAAACTTTATTTTTTTTAATAAATTTAGTTTATCAATCTTTTAGTATAATATTTATATATGTGAGTTTATTTTGCATAAACTCTTTTAAAGTGTAAAATTTAATAAAATTACCTATAAGCTAAAATAACCATTAAAGTAAATTCATGTTTAATAGAGACTTAAAATAATTACAAATTGAGCCAACAAGATATAAACAATGGCTTATTGTTGGCACAAGAAAGGCATAATAGTTTGTGTTTTACGTTGCGAGAATTAGTTTTTAGGTTTATATGCATCTTTTTTATTTCTTTCAAGCAAATATATGTCTTGTTAGATGAAACACAAGACGAGTTTTATTTTTGACAATTTTATGATTTGTTTAAATTGTTTAATTTATAGATAATAAATCAATAAAAAATGTTGATATTGTCTAAGATTTGTTGTTGATGTTCTTGTTAGCATTATTTATTCTTCATCGTCATCTTTTATATTTATAGTACGTAAACTGTAGATATCTGTATTATTATTTATTTTCAGGGGTAATCGAACCTCCTCCACCTCCTTATCCAGGTATATAGCATAATCAAACATTTCATTGGATCACGAGTTCTTTTTTTTTTAACTTGTAATATTTTGGGTGTCAGTTAGTTTTGCTTGTTATTGATTTTTTTTTTTTTAAGTATTAGCTTTTCATATTTTTATATTTTGAATGTTTTTTGAATTTTTCAAAAAAATTTTAAGTACTTGAAATTTGTAATTTTTAAACATTTGGTTACTAATGATACTAATGTTTATATAAGTTTTATTATTTTTAAAGTTGTATGTTAAATAATATTTTATTGAAGAAAACGTTTTATTTAATCAAAAAGCTTAATAGCAAATTATGAATTAATGGGTGTATTTATAAATAATTTTAAAAATAGAAAAAATATTTTTTCAAATTACAATTGGATGCAATTTTTTAAATCTTATATCGTCACTTGAACATGAGATATATAGATATAAAGGCTTATAGATATGGATAAAAATGTATCAAAATGGTTCATCAATTGGTTTGTTTTTTCCTCCTGGATTTTAGGATCAAGTGTACATACTTTCCTCTATGTGGTGATCATTTTTTAGAATTAGTTTACAATTAATGTATCCCAGGTAATAAATATTGCATGTGCGTTATAATAAACCTGATTCAGGGGCGGATCCAGGATTTTTTGGTGCTTGAGTTAAGTAACTTTCAGATAAGTTCGTAAATCCAAAATTTATTTTGCTCATACTTATGTCATTTATAAATGCTTTGCCGAAAATTGCGTTGATTAGAGCCTGGGAACAAAAATACCCTTAATAGTAGGCATCACCCGCGCAGATGAGAGGGAAAATGATTTTTCCTTTAATAAAATTCAAATGTGTATCTATATTTAAAGTTTGATCAAAAAATCATCTAGTTCAAAATTTATGGTCATTTAAAGGTTAGAGCCCCCTCAAAACGATGGGGTTGTAAACTTAAACTGGGTATAATTTCTAAATAATAAGTATTTTTTTAAAAAAATTTAGAACCTTAACGATATTACCACCTAATTTAGGATATTAGAATTTATATTTAGAGAATGCCTACTTTTTAGGATTTTTTTGTTCTCAGGCTCTAATCAGTGCAATTTTGGCAAATCATCCTTAGATGGCTAAAGTATAAAAATACAAAAATTTGGAGTTTAGAACTTACCTGGATTTTTCGGTATTGAGTTATATAACTCAAATACCGAAAAATCTTGGACCCGCCCTTGTGATTCAAAATTAATGCTGTGGCATTAATTTTTGTATTTTCTGCAAATATGCAAAATACAAAAGAAAAACTTTCGACAATACGAATACAAATGAATCTACTACCAAGATTTGATCATTTGTCAAGAAAATAATTGATCACATTGTCAGCATGAAAGTACTACATAAAAAAACCCTGCCAAGAAAATAATTGATCACATGGTCAGCATGAAAGTACTACTGGTAATACTGACCAAACCAATCTCCAACACTACCTTTAAGATCTCTATCACTAGCAAACAAAATATTTTATAATATTCAAAGCATTACAGTAAAAATTTTAAAAAAAGAAAATTAGTTTTTTACAAGATATAGTTTCCTTTTTAAAAACAAATTAACTACTGCATCTATTTTAATACTTTTTACTAACTAAATTGAGCAGTATTTATATTAGGTTGTTTTTATTTTAAAAAAATGTATTGCTATATTTCTAATAGAAGACTCTCGTAGTTGGCTCTTGAAATAAGTTCATCGCGCTAATTCAAGTGCTAAATAAAGCTGTTGTTATCGGCCACCTGGCGGCATGAGTGAAAACCTTGGCATGTTTTCAACAAATCATTAAAAAAGGTACCGTTAAAAAAAAAAGCAAAATTTTATCATTCGAGATTTAAACATGAATTGTTTTCTTTATAATCATGGCCTTCAAGTTTTTTATAATGCAATTTTTGAAACGGGTTCAATATCTTTAATAAACAAACCTACAAGAGGAACAATAAACTCAGCAATTCTAATCAGGGCCGTGCACAGATTTTGGGGCCCCCGAGCATCGTTCAATTTGGGGGCCCAACCCCCCTCCTCCTCCTCTTCATTAAAAAAAAGTCTCTTCAAATTTTTGGATTATATTTCTCATATATAATTGTAATTAAGTTGTCCAGCTTTTGTTTCTTACAACATCTTTTTTTTGTCTTTTGTTTTGCAAACTCTTCAATCACATCATAGAAATCAAGATTTTGTGCTAATAGACACTCAATACTCAATATGGCAAGATTGTTTGTTTGTTCTTGTCCCATAGAGCATAAAAAATTGAAACTCAAGTAAAAATACAAATAGCAATCACTAAATTTCTGAGAGAAACTTAGTGATTTCATTTCTAAATTTTTATGTAACAAGTTGAATGGAGAATGTGGCTTTTTTCCAAAGTTTGCAGAATGGTATTGCTTTATGTGAAGCAATTTTTCTGTCAGTCACGTTTCATGAATATTATGAAAAAAAATGGTTGACGGCACTCTATCATTGCTTCATAAATTTTTTGATATTCCTCCAAAAAATATAATACAGCAAAAATTTCTTGAATGGACAGTGAGTCTACCAATCACAGAGTCAAGAATGTAATAAAAAAACGCTCCAAAATGTTGCTTACTCTCCTGATTATGTTGATTCCGTGATATGTTCATCACCTTTAATTTACTCCTAAGCAAAACCTTTGCTTGGAAGTAAATTGAAGGTGATGAACACCAAAAAGTGACTTCACTTTTTGGTGTTCATCAATTTACTCCCAAGCCTTCAATTTACTCACAAGCAAAGTTTCACCTTCAAAGGTTTCACCTTCAATTCACCAAAAAGTGACTTCACTATTTGGTGGATTTAAGTGGATTATAAAATTTAGAACTGATTTCTGCAGTATCTGCAGCTAATTTAGCTTTTTTCAAAACTGTTGGCCATTCCTGCAAAACAGATAAAAGGTGACCAATCAATGTTTTAAATTTTTTTATTTTTATGTTTTAAAATTAGTTTTAGCAATCGTAAGAAATTTCCATTTGAGAATCTCCAATTAGGTTTGATTTTCCACAAAAAGCCAATCCGCGTTCACCAAGTAACAGAATCACACCCAAGACTTGTTCTATAGTTTTTCTCTAGGTAGTTACTTCATTGAGGATTAGGCGGTTCACAAAATTTGGAAATGTAAAACTTGATTTCCAGTAAAAACAATTGAATTAGAAAACAAAATGCTGCTGATTTTTAAAACAGACATTATGATTTTTATAACGCATTAAATATATGATTTCTGGTATCTTTTGGCATATCCAGCGGTAACGGAACGTAACTAGCCCTCACCTATCCAGGTAAGTAAAAAAAATTTAAAAATGGAAAAATTTTAACTTTAAAGTCACCAATGTTAAATGGCTACAGCAAAGCTGGTCCTACAGTGCTAGTGCAGAAAATTCCATGCTTCCGTCATCTTCTGCTGCGTTGATGCTAAACTTGATCCAACATCAAGAAACGTTTGCCCCTTGTATATAGTTGCTTCTTTTGCTTTGCTGATTTGAATATGTGCGTTTCAAAATTATTATTTCCAGGTACTTTGGTCGAATATATATTATATATATATATATATATATATATATATATATATATATATATATATATATATATATATATATATATATATATATACATATATATATATATATATATATATATATATATATATATATATATATATATATATATATATATATATATATATATATATATATATATATATATATATATATATATATATATAAAATAAATTACTATTGTGTGTTTATTATTATCAACTTATAAATTAAATTATATAATCAAGCGAATCGCTTGTAAAAACAACTCTTTATAATACGTCACTTTTAAAGTTTGTCTTGCACTAGGTTTGATCATATGACAACAGCTTAGAAATAAAATTTAAACAAAAGCTTATCAAGGCCAGGGTTATTTCTATTGAATATGATCAGTTTTGCCTGCTCTATTGTTAAAGACATTGAACATTTGTGCTGCATTTGCTGATTTGCTTTGAAGCGTAAGGATAAAGGGATAGACAAAATTAAAAAAAAAACGGAAATTTATTGCGTTTCTGCGGGTAAATTTATTCAAGTCAACCACTTGTTGGCCCTCATAGAAGCCGGGGGCCCTCAAAGAAGCCGGGGCCCCGAGAAATTTGCTCTGGTGACTCGCCCTCTGCACGATCCTGATTCTAATAGATAATATAAAAAATTTCAGATATTTTCAACAACGATTTAAAAGTAGATATTTTGCAAACCGATATGTCAGATCATTTCCCTATATTCATAAAATAACATAATATAAACTCTGACAAAATTATAACCACACAAAAAGTAATTTGAAAACGCATTTATAATGAGGCCAATCTTAAATTATTCAAAAATCAACTATCGTTGTAATTATCACTGTAATAACATAAGTTTTAATGATAATGCCAATAATTAATCTCAAAATTACAATATACGTTAGGACTTTTTATTGACCTATAAAAAGCTTTTGATACAATCGATCACCGAATTTTAACCTATAAGCTTAAACACTATGAAATAAAAAACTAAGTTTTAAAATGGTTTGAAAGTTATTTTTCAAATTGTAAACAATTTGTTCCAAGTAATTATGGTTATCACACCACTTGTCTTTCTATAACATGTGGAGTCCCACAAGACTCAATTCTTGGGCCATTCCTTTTTCTAATTTATATCAATTATTTAAATAAAGCCTCTAAACTCACAAATATTATGCTTGCAGATGATACTAACTTGCAGATGATACTAAGTGGTATCTGTGATATCAGTGATATCTATGAACTCTTTAAAACAATGAACAAAGAACTTAGACATGTATCAAGTTGGTTTAAATGTAATAAGTTAACTCTAAATACTAATAAAACAAAGTGAATCTTATTCCATTTTTATTTCAAAAAGCGGTTTTTGCCATTAAACTTACCTCAAATTTTTATCGATCAAAATGAAATAATATGGGATTCCATCACAAAATATTTAGGTGTTTATCTTGATGAAAGCATCACTTGGGATCGTCATATCGACTATATAAGCACTAAATTTCAAAAAATATAGGAGTTTTATAAAAAGCACGAATCTACCTCAACAAGAAAATTTTATCAAATTTTATTATTCATTTATACACAGTTATTTAAATTATGCTAATATTGCCTGGGGTAGTATAGAAAAAAGTAAGTTACAACGTCTTTATCGCCGTCAGAAACATGCAATCCGTTTAATCTGCTTTGCAAATCGCTTTTCTCACGCTAAACATTATTTTTTTGAAGAATTTTAAATATATACGTGTTAACATTATATATTTAAAATGAGAATTTTAAATATATACGTGTTAACATTATATATAATGTTTTATGCGTTGTATACATGTAGAAAAATGACTTGTCCCCTGCCTGTCTTCAAAGATATTTTTACTCCGAAACTTATCAACAAATACAATTTAAGAAATGCTGATTTTTTAAATGAACCTTTTTGCCAAATAAACATTAATCAATTTTGTATTGTCTAACGGGCACAACACCTTTAGAATAAAATTGTTTTGCCGAACTTTGATTTTGAACTATCCATTACTTTTCGCCTTTTTAAAAATAAATCAAAAACCCTAGTTTTTTCATTTGATAACATATTCTGTTACATCTATAATATGAATTAACAACTTTGCCTTTACTAATTTACATTTATAAAAAGTTTATTCTTATTTACTTTGTTGATTTTTATTTTATACAGTTGTTAACTGTATGTAGACGGGGACGAAATGACACATCTTTTAAAAAATTGTCATACTTTCCTAAAACAATTGTAAAAACCTTTAGACTTAATAATCATATTTCTGGCTCCCCACTAAATTCCCCGTTACTAAGCTAATATCTCATTGTAGAGGGTGTTTCCTCAAAAATGAAATTTCGTAAAATGTAAGGAATTGCAACCTAATTTGAATATAAAAATATTTTTCAATGTTTGTGTAAACTAGGCAATATGAAATTATACAGAAAAATTTATTCAACTAAATCAATTGTTTTTTAAATAAAAAAAGTGAATAGAAATAAAAGCATGTACAAGTTCTGCATAAATAACACGATAAATAAATATAAACACGATAAATAACACGATAAATAAATATAAACACGATAAATAACAAGATAAATAAATATAAACACGATAAATAACACGATGAAAACCGTCTACCCTAATCATTTTTAAGTAGAATATGGTCGATACAACTGCAATTCTTATAATCTAATTTTAAAATAAATTTTATTTTGGATAATGAACTTGGTTATATTTTTTAAAACTTTACAGTTATTTAGAATGATGGATAATGCTGTGACCGCTAAGAATGTTTTTTCAGATCTTAAGAACAAAATAAAAGTTAAAATTGAAATCAAATTATTGATATTGCTCGCAATTATTCTCATTGATATTGCAATTGATAATGCAATTATTCTCAATATTGCAATTGTTTCCAATTATTCTCAATATTGCAATTGTTTCCAATGGTAATGTATAGATCATTAATTAACCAATCTCAGAAGCGGATTTAAACCTGGCCATTTTAATGACAAAATTGCGACAAAATTATAAAAGAAGATTGCATTTAAAATATTTTGATTCCGTTTATAGAAAAACAAAACGTTAATACTACGTCATTTAGCATTGACGGACCTATTTTAGCTCATTATGCCTAAAATGTGGTTGCTTTCCTAGACAGTGAAAGTAAATAACTGAAGTTAACTAGAAGAGTTAAGTATTTTGGTCACCCCAACCAATTCAGAAAAAGCTACTTCAGAAATAATACATTAGTTTGCAAGCTTGATAAAAATAAGAACGAATACTTAGTTTGTTATAAAGAACTACCAGAAAAAGAAAAAATGTGTCGTGTTGTTGCCAAACTTTTGAACCATCATTAATTATAATAATTAAATATTAATTTTTTTATTTTTTTTTTACAATTTAGGTCCCCCAAGAAGTCCTAACGGTCTTATCACAAAGCACCGCGGAAGAGTATTTAAAAAGAAGTTCATGCCTCCTTTCTTACCGATGTTATAAAACTTGTCCAGAGGTGTCAATAAACCAAGGATCTCTATCTTTTGAGGCAATCGCGCTACCACTGCTGCTCAAATTATTTAATTACTTAATTTTATAATAACTCTAATTATTGTTGATAAAATAAGTACAATGATGCTAATGAAAGAAAAAAAGATAATGAAAAAAGATTTATAGCAAATGTTAATAAAAGTTTTATCTCAAAAACATTTTAAAATCATTTGAAAGATTTATTTTTCTCAATCCTTTACAAGTCATTTTTTAAGGTATCATATTAAATTCTTGCGAAATACTTATAACTTTGTTTTGTATAAAACAAAACTTTAAAGATTTTTTGGTTCAGTCTAGTTCATGTTTTTTTGTTATTTCAGATAAAAAGATGCTTTGCTATATAAGGCGCGCATGCCTAATTTATTTCCATCAATAAATACACTACTTAAACCTGGTTTTGTTGGGAAATAAGTGGATTGCAATAACAGAAACGTAAAATAACGGTATTGCTTTTCCTTCTCTGTCTAATTTCAAATTCATGCCATTTATTTTAATTATTTTCTTGAGCATTGATTGGTTAAAATTTGCTGCTCACTCAGCTGTTGATTTAATGCAGAAATTATGCTGAAAGAGATGTCACTTTAAAAATGCTGTAAGCTTCTTTTATAACATGGCGATGTGGTTATTACTATTTTTATTGACAGTTTTTTGTGATATCCAGATATCATGGCAGGTTAGTGATTATACCATCTTCTTTGTACGTGTGTTTTATTTTTTTTTCAAACAAAAAAACCGTTTTAAAAAATCTTCAAACTAAAGATAATTAAAATTTAAAAGATAATTAGAATTTTTTTTATTTTTAAGAAATTCTTGACGCACCATCTAAGACCTCCATATGATCAATATTATTATTTCAAACTGTTGTTTTAACAGAAAGCAAAACTAAGTGCTGTCAAATACTTATTTATAATCATAAATATTGTTTTAAATATTTCAAATTAAGAATGAGCATGTGAGTTCGTGAGAGTAAAGTGAAGAGGTTTCTAGGGTTTAAACGACCTGAAAAATTAAATCTTCATTTTTTAATAAACTTTTATCATTTGATTTTTATTTTTTAAAAAAAAGGTTTGTTAAATAAAGTACTTTACTTTTCTTTTTTCACGTTTAAAAAGAACACATTATAGTTAAGCTAAAACAAAAAATACTAAAAAATAATGACAAAATTGTATTGTTTTTTTTTTTTTAGTTTTAATTTCCAAAAATAAGAATTTAGAGTAAAACACTTTAATTTATAATTAACGTAATTAATAATCATATCAGCAAAGCTTATAACACGGCGATCTATCGTATAAAGGTTTTCCTAATGCTCGTGTTATGCCATAACGTTTTTATTTTGTTTTCAATAAAACAATCATATTTTGACCAAAATTCTACTTGTAAAATTCACTTTTAAGATTGTCGTTCGGGGAGATTGTCAACGTTTGAGGGGTGAGGAAGGACATTTACAAATATTTATTTTAAATTATTAATCATGAAAAGTTATTAAAAAATACACTTTTTTTTTTCTATTTTATGAAAAGTCATTTTTTATTAGTTTTTAATAACTTTTTAATGCAGAATTTACTATTTTAAAACTTAGTATTTCTTCTCTCTAAAAAGTCAGTTTTACTCGAATGCGTCATAACCTAGTGGACACAGTACATTCGTTGGACGTCTGAAGGACGTCCTACGGGCCTGTGACGTCAACAAGACAGCTTACGATGTGTGCGCCCTTTGGCAAGTTTCCCGTTCTGCAAATTTGTTTAACTTTGACAAAGTAATTGAGTAACTTTGAGTGTTTTTTAAAGTAATAGTTGTTATAAGTTGTATTTCAGCAAGTCCCAACCTTTTGTAAAGCCTCGACCCCTCGATAGCATTTGCCAAATTGTGGCGACTCCAACAATAAAATTGTGGCGACTCCAACAATAAAATAAGTTTGCTACTTGATCACTGCAATTTTGCAACTATTATGATTTTTAACTTCTAAATATCTGATTTTATTCACACTTTTAACAGTTGGGCTAAAAAGTTCGTTTCGTTTAATAGAAAAACACATTTTTTTTTCAAAATTCGGTTTTATTATTCAACATAGTTTCCATCAGAGGCGATACAGCGATTATAGCGATCTTCCAATTTTTCGATACCATTTTTGTAGTACGATTTGTCCTTTGCTTCGAAATAGGCTTCAGTTTCAGCAATCACCTCTTCATTGCTCTTAAATTTTTTACTAGCAAGCATTCTCTTGAGATCTGAGAACAAGAAAAAGTCACTGGGGGCTAAATCTGGAGAATACGGTGGATGAGGAAGCAATTCGAAGCCCAATTCGTTCAATTTAAGCATCGTATTCATTGACTTGTGACACGGTGCGTTGTCTTGATAAAACAGAACTTTTTTCTTCTTCAAATGAGGTCGTTTTTTTGCAATTTCATCCGTCAAACGCTCCAATAACGCAATGTTTTTATTTATTTATTTAATTATTTTATTTCGTCAGTAAAAAAAAAAGAATACAATGCCGTGTAATATAAATAAGATCTACATGACCGGGGTTAAAAGAAGACAATACTTGCCTTATCACTACACCCCGACGTGCTTTCATAAGCAAGCGTGTACAACCATTAAAAGTTAAATATACAATTACTTTGTGCCATTTAAAAAATTATATACAATTATTTACAAGTATGTTAAGACTAGTTACTAATCTATAATCAAAAGAAAATAGTAAAAAGAAATTAAAAAAAAAAAAAATCAAAACTATAGATAAGCTAATAGAATAGTTTATAGAGTTAATAAGATAATAGTTAAAAATAAAGAAAAAATAAAAATAAAAATTTTTTAAAAAGAATTTAATTCATTAACATCGTTAATAAGTTTTTGTTTCAATTTTTTTTTGAATAGGTAAAGAGAAGAACAATTTTTCAGCTCGTCACTTAATAAAGCATTTCATAGTTTAGGACCTCTTATAGCAATATAAAATTTGGTAGCCAAATAATGCATTTTAGGTTGCTCATAATTGTACTTAGAAAATCTTGTAGGGTACATGTGATTAATTTTATTGAAAAGTGTACTAAATATTATAGGTGATATTTTATTATGAAGTTTGTACATAAAAATAAGAATTTGATAAAGGTTTAACTGAAAAACATTGAGTATGTGAAGATTATTAAATAGTTCTTTAGTATGTGTGAATCGACCTGCATTTGAAATAATTCTGACAGCATGTTTTTGTTTAATAAGCAGTTTTTTAATTTTACTTATATTAGAGCTGCACCAGGCAATGTTTGCATAGTTTATATAACAATGTATGAGGGAGAAATATAAAATTTTTAGGCAGTTTTGGTTTAAAAACTGCTTGGCTTTGAATAGTATACCAATATTTTTTGAAACTTTATTTTCTATTGTACTTATGTGTTCTCTCCATGTAACGTTTTCATCAAGTATTACTCTTAAAAATTTTATTGATGACTCTCTAATTATTTTAGAGTTGCCAATATAAAGATTAGGAAGTTTTAGTGGAGTGTTTTCTTTATCGTGAACTCTATAAAAAAAAGTATACTTAGTTTTATTTAAATTTAGGGACAATTTGTTCGCCTTGAACCATTCCGCTAGATTTAAAAGTTCTTTGTTTACTATTTTAAATAAAAGTTTAATATCTCCATTAGAGTAAAATAAATTCGTGTCATCTGCAAATAAAACAGAGTTTAAAATGTTTGAAAACTTATAAAAATCGTTTACATAAATAAGAAATAAAAGAGGACCCAGAATTGAACCTTGGGGAACACCGCAATTTATTGTCATATAGGAAGATTTTCCTTCTTCGTATGATATGTATTGTTTTCTATTGTTTAGATAACTTATGAACCAATCTAAATATGTGCTTTTAATACCATAACTTTCGAGTTTTTTTATAAGAATATTATGGTCTACTGTATCAAAAGCTTTGCTAAGATCTATAAAAACCCCAAGAGTAAACTTTTTCTTGTCAAATGCTTTAAATATATCATGAACAATATTAATAATGGCATGGTCAGTTGAATTATCTGGCTGAAATCCAAATTGTTTATTATATAAAATATTATTTGTATTTAAAAAATTCAAAATCCGATTATACATAATTCGCTCTAAGATTTTTGAGAAGCAAGGGAGAATTGAAATTAGTCTGTAATTTTCACAATTAGAAATATCTCCTGATTTAAAAATAGGTATAACCCTTGCAATTTTAAGTTTATCAGGATAGACACCTTGTTTTAAAGAGAGATTAAAAATATGTAAGAGAGGGATTGTCAAGTATTTTATTGATTTTTTTATTACATTACTACTAATATTATCAACTCCTACACTTTTGTTTTGTTTTAAAAGATTTACTGCATCTATAAGTTCATTTTCAGTAATTTCATAAATATCCATTTTAGAGGTCTTATTAGGAGTAAGATATGTCTCAAAGTTTACTTCAGTGGTTTCTATTTTTGACGCTAGAGTGGAACCTACACTTACAAAATATTGATTAAGTGTTTCGGCAATTAAAGATTTATTTGTAATAACTTTATTATCAATTGTTAGATTTATAGGAAGAATATTTCTGTCAGTTTGTTTCGTACCAATTACTTCCTTAATAATGTTCCAAGTATTGTGCCGATCATATTTATGTTTAATTAATTGCTCGGTATAGTACAACTTCTTGGACTTTTTAATAACCATCTCAAAAATACGTTTATAATTTTTGTAATTGGTTTCATTGTTGAAAGTTTTTTTTTTGAGAAATTTATTATATAGTCGTTGCTTTTTTTTTTTGACGACTTGATAATTCCCGGAGTTATCCATGGATTTGATAATGTCTTTTTTTTCACACATTCTGTTATTAATGGAAACGCTGTATTATAAAGTTGTTGTAATTTATCTAGAAACTTATTGTATGCCTTATTTGTGTGTACAATATCAAGGAGGTCATCCCAGTTTAAATCTGCTAGAAGACTATTAAAATTTTCAATGGATTTTTCATCTATTTGTCGTGTAATTTTTTCAATTTTTTTTGCATAGATATTATCGCATTTTTGTGAGATAAGAAATAGGTATTGTGGTTTATCCTCCTCCAGCTAATTGCCATACGGAGGCCACATTACCAAGGACCACAAAGACAAGTTCAGCTAATAAATAGCGTCATTACCTGCTCTACGGACCAAGAGTAAAGTGAGTTTAGGACGAACGAAGAATGTTAGAGTAAAAGACAGAAGAAGTCGTGTTAGAAAGATAGCATACAGAAAGCGGACAGGATTGCACACGATGTTAGAAGGTGCAATTTAATTAAATACTTATTTTAAAATAAGTATTTAATTTTTTTTTTTAAATATAGGGAAGTGGTCTGAAATGTCGCATTTAAATATACCCGTTTTTAGTTTTGATTTAAATTCGTTGGTTACTATTTGGTCTATAACAGTTGCGCTTTCTCTAGTTATTCTTGTGGGTTTATTAATTAGTGGAATATAGCCTTTCTGATAAATGACGTTATAAAAATTATTTATTTTTGTATTTGAATGACGCATGTTCATGTCCAGTTTAAAATCACCTACAAAATAAACGCTTCTATTTTTACTTAACTTATTTTTAATTATGTTTTTAATATAATTTTCGAACTGTTTTATTGAACCGGAAGGTGGTCTGTATAAAACGTGGATGATAATGTTTTTTGTGGTTTTATTT